TTTGTGTACCCTTACCTGAGAATAAACTCTCAGGCAAAACAATGGACCCTGGAAATACCCGTTGCTGGAAGGGAGGAGGAGGAGGCTGCTGGTGTATTCATGACCTGCCCGCTGGGTTTCCTCACACCATCTGTTCCAACATTGTGTGAAACAAGATGCCTGTGCTATCGAGCCCCTTCATTTCATCGAGGGTCTCTTCTGTTTTGAGGAACAGAGTGGCATTTTTTTCTGAGCAAATTTAAAGCTGAGGATGTATAATATTCAGTGTATTTCCCTTCTCGATTTCATGGGAACAGACTGAAACTGGTTTTAATTCAGAGTTAACTCCTTCTAAATGTTGATCAGTATTTCTGATCTAAATGCCAAGGGCCTGATGCAGCTACCCTTACATACTCTTCTGTCTTTGGATGCTTCCTCCTGCACTGATATACTGTATTCCAATTAATACAAATAGGATTTAAAAGTGCTTTGCAGTGCAGTGCTGATACATACACAGTTGACGTTCGATGTGAGAATGACTGTTTATAACCCTTGCAATTTATGGCAAGATAATGTTCCCATAACTAGTGTGTCTTGACTCAGAAAGTTCTAACGCAAAACAACATGGCTCTCCCCCGGTTGCAGGAGGACCCAGAATGCCTTTGGCATCCATAAAGCCATAGGCTACCCTTTCTTTGGTACTAAACAGCTCTGATTTCCAATTTCTTGAGGAAAGTATCCAGATTTCAAGGGAATATAATCCCACATACCTGTGTCTAGCAGGGTCCTGTGAAGCTGTAGTTCCAGGGCACAACTGCAATGAAATTAGCCCCCTTCCAGGAAGTGGGGCTTATTCCAAGAAAAGATAGAAAGGAGAAGAGGGTGTTCAGTCATTTCAGAGTTACATTCATGTATACAATAGCTGTACATTTAGAACTACTTGCAGGCATTCTAAGGGGTGGGTATACACTGTCACACCTAGAATATGTGCAGATTATGGATTTAGGGAGATAATATGACCTGCATTGAGCACATTGGGATTAGGGCAGAATATAAATATAATTAGTAAATAAACTAAACAGCAAATGATAGTCAACCAGGATATTTTTAGGGAGTGATTTTACACAGAACCCCAAACCCCCACATATACAATGAAGATTCACATGTCCGGACACTCATGCCTGCGAAATGTACCGCATACACTTCTAGAGAAGGTGTGTACGCCACCTTGAGCCCGCTGGAGGAAAGGCGAGACATAGATTTCACCCATAAATAAATAAAACAAACTACTGTATATAGAAAAGCTTGTAGAACCTGATCGGACACAGAGTTATATGCCTAGATCCAAATATAATAGATATGGGCATGGATGAGATTCACATTTACATTAATATCTATGTTCATATAAGCTACATAGAAATGTAACTAATTAAGAACATAAAGGAAAATATATACAGTATATGAAGACTGTGAACGTATAACTGAGCTATCTGGAATATGCCTTCACATGTCCGTTTGGTGTGGGTGTCGGTATGCATCCGCATGTACTGTACTTACATGTACCACTTAAGCACATCATTGACTCTGCCTTGAGTTCGATGGAGGAAAGGGGAAAGATTCATGTAGGAAGAAATTAACTAAAATCTAACTCTTTCACTTAAAGTGCCTACCAGGTGACGATGTTGTAAAAGAATGGTTTCCCTCTGAAAGCCAGAACAGAGATAAGTTGCCTGAACCTCCGCCTGCAAGCGTCAGAAACTTTTCCTAAAGCATTCGGTCGAAACCTGCCGGAACAAAGCCCCCGAAGTTAATAAGAGAGGCTCAATTGGTAGACATAAGTCAAACAATAAAAATTAGAGGTAGCGGGGAGCAATCCCCTCCGGCGGTGCCTGTGTGGTCTGGTGGGGTCTGCAGGCCCATCGGACGTGCGGGAACGGGACGAGGAAGGGAGAGATAATGATTTAAAGATTTCTTTCAAAGCCAAGGGAACGTTTTGGGTTGATTTTGTTCTTCCTTTCAAGGGAAGGCCGGAGACGTTGTTGCCGTTCAAGTCAAGAGAAAAAGGGCTGCGTCTCAGCAATTATTAAGGATAATAATATCCATGATAACCGTTATGATAAATCATAATATTTAAAATCGAGACGGACCAGGAACAGGGAATATTAAACCTTGCAGGTTCACCAAATTAGCTATTTGCCTATTAATGAGGAAGCAGGAAAACCACCCCATATTGATCTGAAGGGCTTTCGCAGAAAAGGCAGCGGGAGGGTTTTTTCTTAAATTGTACTCTTTAGAAATCGTAACTGGGGGAGCCGAAAAGGCATTTTCTCCGGGATCCGGATTCAAGGGCGTTTGCTGGAGGGATGAAGGGCCAAAATCCCTAATGCTTTTTTTGTGTGTGGGGGGGGCTGGCCGACCTCCCCCGCGGGGACTAAGGAGGAGGAAAATCTCAACGACGGCTCACCTCACCTGGTCTATAACCACCGCCACCGCCTCTCAATAAGCCGAACACAGGAGTCTGGAGTCCCGCCGCCACCCAGAGCTAGAAACACTTCTAGACTCTTCAGTTTATCTCCATGAATCATCTGCACGCCTCGTCGGTCAAGGGGTGGGGATGAAGCCAGAGGGGTTTCCCTCGCGCTCCACTTTCTGGACTTTTACGGGTAATATTTTTCATGCCACATGCTAACGTACTGGGTTTAACGCAGTTTCAAATGAGAAGGGACTCCGGCCAAAGGCGGGTGGAAACAGCTCCTGACGCCTCTGAGATATTTTTTTTCCCAAAACTTGAATTTCTTCTAAATTACTGAGCCGGTCACAGGAAAAATTATTATTTTTAAGCAAATGCCTGAATGGTAATTGCTACTTTATTGGTCTAATTAATCTGGCAGTGGGACACCGCTTATGTACAAGTTTTCTTTCTGGGCCGGGAAGAAGCCGAGGGCATCCATTCATTGCGTGCCTCGGTTGTAAGAATGAGTCGGGGGAAGAAGGGGGAATTTCTGCCCTTTTCAGGGTACAGGAAAGAACTCTCCCCCCCCAATCGTTGTTAGACCTGCTTGATAAAAGAGATACCCAGTCCTTCCGAGATCCACACAGCCAAACGGCTGTAACTATTTTTGTCCAGAGAAAAGGGGAAAGCGCCCCCCCTCCCAGATTGACGCCGCCAATAAGGCCGCCATTTCTGGCAGCTGAAGGAGCCGCTCGGGCGGATTCGTTTCCCGTTTCCTTGTTACTAAGCCCAGTCGATTTTCCAAAGAGGCAGGCCTCAGCCTTGCCGGAAATCGCCCCTCGGTTAATACTGAGGGCTTTGAGGGCTTACTGGATGCCCGCACGGTCTCGAATCCTAAGGTTCCCGTCGCCACCCTTCTCTGGGCAACCAAGCCAGCAAGATTCCGGGCCACGTCTTTCCGTCTCCGAGTCACGGCCAGGAAAACCGACGAAGGGCTCTTCCAAAGAGATCTATGTGTTGCTTTTTTCTTTATCAGACCTGGGGGACATGTCTTGCCGGCTTCTACGAAGCTAGATCTGAAGTGAATTGTGCCTCCGGCTCTCGCTCTCTGTTTTAGTCCAGTGATTTCCCAGAAATTGTGATTTTCAAAGGGAAATCTGGAAGACTTTTTTTTTAAAAAGAAAAAGACTGACCTCGCGCTGTCTTTTGTGAAGGACGACGTCCCAGGACTTCTGGTGGAAATCCGGAGAGACGGGGATTAAACGTTCGACGTGGGGAGGAATGAATTGCCCAAGTGGTGCCATCCTGTGTTTTGTCTGCTCCGCACAGCGTTCGAGGAGGCTTGCTTGCTCCCTGGGAAGCTGGGACAGGAGCGCCTCCGAGCCCAAGGCGCTCTGCAAGGATTCTTCACGGTAAGCCTTCTCCACGTACCCTCACGACGCCTGCATTGCACTAAATAGCAACGTGTTTCACTAAAAGGAATGGGATTTATTCCCAAATAAGGAGTGAGGATGATTGATTCAAAAGACAGTGATATAGATGAGTAGGCAGGCCGGTAAACACTGTGTATTTGCATGCATTTTAGTATTTATTATATGTACTACGCGGGTACAACGTACTACAGTATGCCGTAACATAACTTGCAAGGTATTCCAACTGAGAATGCCGGATGATGGCTATGCAACAGACATCCTATGCACGGGGGTGCAATTGCATGGGCATGAATCGATGCAAACATAAATGAGGCGTGCGCGCAAATCTACCCAGGCAGATAATGCCCGGAATCCGACGCACGCTGTCTGTAAATCCGCCTCTTTGAGTAGAGGCTTCGCCATGGATCAAAACCGCATGGGATTGCACTGCAGCGTTGTGTTTACACACCAATAACCTGAAGACAGTACCTTGGAGTCAAGTTCAGAGCCCGCCATTCCCTCCGCTGAGGGCGCCTCTCTCCAAGAGACAGAGAGGCCATGTGCCTGCACGCGCATCTCGGCTTCTCCTGTATATGCCTACCTACGTCTCTCCTCTATGTGCATACCCACGGACACACGTCCAGGGAGAGAGGGAAGTTAAGTAACTCTTGGAATAATTCGGAATAACGAGGGAAGCCGTAATGGATGCAAACATGTAGAACCAATCTTAATCGAGCCTGACAGGGAGGGAGCGGGGGAACCGCGCGATTGTACAGGTTGGAAGGGGGGGAAGGGGAGGGGGCTGCCTCTAAAACTTTGCCACCATGGCATTCCCTCCTCCAGTTGCCCTCGGTGTTCCACGACTGGAAACTATCCCTCCCTCCCTTCCTCCCACCCACCCCCCGCCGCCTGCCTCTTCCTCTTCTTCTTCCTCCTCCTCCAGAGGCCTTGGGTCTCTATCCCTGTTTCGGGAAGTTTCCCCGCTACTTTTTCCCGAAGAGACTCTTTTTGCAGAAGGTGGCGGCGGGAATGCAGGCAAGGCCGGCTCGGAAGGACGTCTGCGGACTTCTGCTGCCTGGGGGCCGCTGGGGCTCCCTCCCGGGCAGTTACCGACTCCCGACCATCGGCCGAAGCGCCTGAAGGCGCCCACCGGGGAGATGTGCGACCGCAGCCTCTGCCGACCCAGTTACATGGGCTCTCTCTTGAACTTGCCCTCGACGGCCGACTCCTTTTATTTCCCCAGCTTGCGGACGAATGGAAGCCACCAGCTGGCCGCCTCTTTGCCTGCCGGCCTCTCCTACCCGCGGAGCTCCATTGCGTGGACATGCGCCAGCTCCTGCCCTTCTCCGCCAGCCGGCTACGCTTTTAGCAGCAGCAGCAACAACAACGACAACAACAACAGCAGAAGCAGCAACACTACTAGCAGCGGCGGCGGGGGCTCTTCCTCGCAGCCGCCGCCTTACCTGGCAGGGAGCTCCCTTCCCCGCCACCTCAATGCCGGCAGCGGCTGCAAAGTTATCTTGGAGGGCCACCCCAAATACTACGCCGCCGAGGCCATCACCTACGCGGCCAAGCTAGAGGAGCGAAGCCGGCCGAGTCTTCGGGAAGCCTCAGGCGAGGAGCCCGGGGGGATGGCGGCGACGGCGGCGGCGGCGGCGCCTCCAGGCAAAGCGCTCAAGTACGAGCCGAGAAGTTTGCCCGGCGCGGCGGCTTCGGCGGCAGCGCCTTTGGACGCCGATCCTCGCCCCTCGGGCTTGAAGGAGGAAGACCTCAAGCGCGCCGTCAACTTGAACCTGACACTGCCGCCGCCGCCGCCTCCAGCCGCCGCCGTTGTCCTGCCGAGCCTCCGACCTTCCCTGCACGACGGTATGTGCCTCCTCGGTTGGTCCAGTTCGAGAAGATGGGGCCGGTCCATAAAAGGCAAACCCACGGTTCTTTACCCCATGCAATGACCCTCAAACCCGACCCCGGTCCCGTCCCTTCGGGATCCAGGCTGCAGACTTACCCGGAAGTAACTCTCAAGGCGACTTACTTCCGAGGAAAGCTGTCCTTAGGAGGGGCTTGACAGATAACCACAGGAAGCTGCATCTAAAGAAATGGGTGGGTCGAACTGCAGCCCTGACGATCTGATCCTGGGTCCTTTTACTCGGAAGTAAGTCTCGCCGAGGTCCGGCGGGGACTAAGCTCAGAGGTCGCGTGCCCGGGGGTGGAAGCAGACAACTGGACGCATCTAGAATGTGTCTCCTTTTGACCTTGTGGAATACCGCATCCACGGGATTAAAGGAGAGCGCACCCCTCCTCCTTACCCACGCGGTTGCTTCTGGTGTTTTCCTGTGGCCGGTGGAAGCCACCGGGTAAAAAGGAGGCCTTTTCTCTCTGAAAAGGCAAGGCAGCACAACTCTCGCCCTGTCTGTTGCAGGTTTGCCTTGGTGCCCGACCCAAGGAAGATCCAGGAGGAAACGGAAACCTTACACCAAACAACAGATCGCCGAACTCGAGAGCGAATTCCTTCTAAACGAGTTTATTAATCGGCAGAAAAGGAAAGAGCTGTCCAGCAGACTGAACCTAAGCGACCAGCAGGTGAAGATTTGGTTCCAGAACCGCCGGATGAAAAAGAAGCGGGTGGTAATGCGAGAGCAAGCGCTCGCCCTGTACTAGGGGCGCCGGCAGCGCAGGAGCGCGCGCTCGCGGGGGGCGGGGAGGAGGACGAGGAGGAGGTCGCGCACGCGCCGGTAGGGCTCTTCCTCCCCCTCCTTAGTCGTGAACTTGCTCCTGGAGTTGCTACCTCGGAGCTACAGGCCAAGGGAACAAAACAACGGGACGGATGCCTGGCGGAAACTCCGGCTCCCCCTGACAGAGAACTTTTGAAAGAGGACCCCCTCCGAGCGATTTCGTTGTTCTTCTAAAGCGGAGAGTTTGGTACAGCGGCAAGTCCCATGGTTCTGGGCCGAAGAGGAAAGGAAATAAGAATAAGGAAAAATAAAGGAACTGTGTGGTGTCAGGTCTTTCATCACCCCCGCCCCCTCATCCAATTTATCCCCTAATCTAGTCTTGAGTCAGAAGGACAAAATGCCTACAACGACCACCCTATGCCTTAAAGCTGTCTACAAGGGACAGTATTACGTTTGACACTAGACTAATGCGAGGTATCCTTACAATGGGCAGGTAATTCCCGTTCGTCTCTGGTTAATTTTCAGTGGGAGACTGGCGTGAAGCATGTGTGTGTCTGTGTGTGGTCTCTGTGTGTGTGAAAGTGTGTGTCTGTGTGTGTGAGAGAGAGAGAGAGTGAGGGAGAGAGAGAGAGAGGTTTTACAACAACACAAAACAGTGAACTCGGTAGCTCCGAACTTTTAAACTGAGAGAGAGAGTGAGGGAGAGAGAGAGAGGTTTTACACCAACACAAAACAATGAACTCGGTAGCCCCGAACTTTTAAAAATGGTTCACAAATAAAAATTCTCCTTTTAATATAACAGTGTCTTCCTACTTGTGCGACCAGTTGTACAGTATTTATTATTCATTTAAAATATTCCTCCCCCTTTTCTCATTAAAAGGACCCAAGGTATATTTTATTCAGGATAAGGCTTATTCTTCCAGGACTCCGTCACTACAACAAAGGAACATCGACCTTCCACGAAGGACTGGCTTTCATCGTCTCACTTTTCTTCCTGAAATTTCTGATTTTTTCCCCCATGTCGATGGCAGCTGAAATATGAACAATCCTTCCCCCGACTCGTTTTGAAAAACAACCCACAACTCTGCCGAGAACTTTGGAGGTGCTTTTAAACGAGGGTATCAAGCCGGAGCTTAAGAAAGAGCGGGAAGGAGGTGGGGAGTTTAGTGTTGGAGGGACGAAAAAGAAGGGAAATTTCTGTATTTTTCCCAATACGCCGGGGAAAAAAGGGAATTCTCGGGCTCCCTCACCGTCCATCCGTTTGCTCAGAAGGAGCCCCCCTTGGGCCTGGGATGAGGCTCCGGATCCAGCCCGGATGCCTCGCCCGCAAAACTCCTTCCGACGCCCAAGCAACCTTCTGAGGAGGGGAGGCGGCTTTTGGCTCGGGGTGAGGAAGGCAGGTGAGGGCCTGGGGAGTCCCCTCTTTTCCTCCCCCTCCCCCGGCCATTGCCTCCCAGGGTCTCTCCACGCCGGCCTTGGCCGTCTGTTTCCCCGACGCGACACCGTGATCAAGCCCTACCCTTTCCGAGCTGCCTGTTGTGTTAAAACGGAAAGAACCTCCAGGCAGAAGGAAACGGTGAGCGTTTCTTTCTGTGAGCGAGCTGTACGTGGGCCAGGGAGCAATCTCCCTGGGCCAAGCTCCCAAAAACTACCTTAGGCAGCAAGCCCTCAGAAAGGAGACGTTTTCCATCCCGTCCAGATGTAAAGAGGGCCTTGCTTCTTTCTCCGGTCAAGGAAGGAACCTAAAATCCGGTCCTTTCGTTTTCTTTGGTGTATTTTTGTTTCGGGGCATTCCTTCCCCCCCCTTCCCTAGAACAGCCCCCGCCGAACGCCAACCGGGCCTCCTTTCATTCCGCAACCCTTTTCCCCCACTGCACCCTCGCCCCCCCCCCCCGCTCTGTCTGCCAAGGCGGGTCCCGCCATTTGTTTTTCTGCAAATCCCTTCTAGCGTTCATTATTGCCCTTGGCGCTCTCTCGCTCTCTCTCTCTCTCTCTCTCTCTCTCTCTCTCTCTCTCTCTCTCTCTCTCTCTCGCTCTCCCCCCTCCCTCGACAATCCTTGCAACCTTCCGTCGTGTTTAGCTTGACTTTGGCCTTGCCCAAAAACCTTCAAGTGAAAGAAAGAAGGGCACAAAAGAATCCAGGATGCGACTCAATAAGAAGAGCTTTTAGCCTCCTGGTCTGGGGTCTCCTTCCTTCCTTCTCTCCCTCCGTCCCTCCCCAGTTCCCAACGGAAAAAAACTTAACGCATAATTAGTCAAAAAACTACTGGAAATCTGGTTTCTTAAAGCCATTGTCCTTGGCGAACCGACGTCAATCGGGCTGCTGAAGGTCCGGATTTTAGTAATATTTTATTTCATACTCATTTAGCGACCGCATTAAAAAGAAACTGTTTCTTTTTTTGTGTGTAAGATTGGGAAAGGAAGAGAGAGGATTTTTAAAATAAATCAGACTCCTCTAATTAAAAATGTATTTTTCACTAAGGAGAAATTAACACGAATTTGGGGATTTGATTTAATCACCTCCCCTGGGCTTCAAATAATACACCAAAAATTATTTTAAAATCCTTCTAGTTTCAGCAAATGCATCGTCTACATGACGTTCCAAACCAGGGAAACTAGAAGGGGAATTTTGCTTCTTGTCTACATTTTGAATGTTAATGAAAATACTGATTTTAGCACCATGGTTTGAATTCCTCACAAGTTTTTATCAAATACGTTTTTGTGTTCATAGATAATAATACTAGTAATATCTAATTAATATCTAATGGTAGATAATAACACTAGTATTAATAGCAATGTCGTTGTTGCCAATGATAATTGGCATGAAAAGAGTTTTCATATTCCGAGGCAGAATGGTAAAATTCATGCAATGAATTTATTGTTCAATTTACACTTAGTTATTTAGAATATCTAAATTTTGAATATTAAGAGCAGGGAAATTTGATAGGCCTTTTGAGCAACTCCTGTTTAAAAACAAGAAGTTGTTTTAAGAAAGCCAGCTAAGATTTATATTATTATTTTGTCCTAATAATATGATACATGTTTCAAACCCACCTTGTGGATAACTTCTCACTGGTTTTGTTTCTAATTTATGTGATTGATTTCTCTTTTCCGCAATCAAGGATACTGTGGGGACTTCACTATCAGGGGTGCAATTTTTAAAAACAATGTGGAAACTAAAGCAAAAAGGTTGAAAAGGTTATCTAAATTTATTTAAACCAATAACACTCAGAAACCCTCCTTTCTCTCTTTTATAGTAAGACTCCAGTCTGTAATAACCCACAGATTATATAATGCTGAAATAATATTTCTGGCCAAAATTGAATACCAAAAGGGGGGTGGGGAACACAAAAATAAGTTCTTGGTTTTTTTTCTTTTTTCTTTGGGCCTCTCCGCTGTCACCCCCCTTTCTCTCACTGAATCATTGAAAACATCAAATCTTTTGTTTCTACAATAAAGAAGATCCTAGCAAATGAAAACATGGAAATAGCAATCAATTGTTTATTAACTTCTATTACTCAGCAGTTGTGGATTGCTGTCTTTTTACAATATCCCCCTCTATGAAATGAATTTACAGTAAGCGAGTAAGCAAGTGAGTAAACGAGCGCAAGTGAGTAAACGAGCGTACCTCCAAGTCTTTGTGTCAGGAGTCTGTTATCCGCATTTTGATGGTCAGTAGAAAAGAGGCTTTTTGCTTTACACATTTAAAAAAAAACAAGCTGATCCTTGGCGTTCAATTACAAAATAAAAACCTTAGGCAGGTAAACTACTTCACACATGTAGATTGCTGCAAATACATGTACAGCCGTGATTCAATTTCCTATTTTGTGGTAGGTCTCATAGATGTCCTTTCTACAGCTAAATATGTGATTGTAGTTAGAACAAAGGTAATAGCTGGTAAATTATTGGATAAATGAAAGAGTCATGAATGTTAGACTTGCCCTTATTCTGAGAATCATTAGGATTACTTTAAATTTTGAAGGAAAGGTTTTAAGGACCTTATTGTATGAAGAATACGAGTATCTGCACACATATTTACATATTTGGATGCATTCCACACTCTGTCGGAATTCGTGGGCAACATTTACCAGAGATTTTGAATAGATTTGTAACTGGTTCTCCTTCTGAACATATTTAGTTGGAAGTACTGCAAGTCCGCTTGCAGCAGGATCCTGTAAAGCAGAGCTTCCTGCCAGGTAAAGCATGTGACCAGGATTGCGGCCTTAAATGCATCCGAGTTTATTCCTGAGAAAAAAAGGGGGCTCATATCTCGGTCAACCTCCTTTTTAGTCGGTCCAAACGGGTAAAAAAAAAAAAGAGCGTTATCTTTGTTGCTCTCTATCTATGAAGGAGAAAAAGAATCTGGAGCGCAACCCGATGTGGCTACGAATCATCCACCTTCGCATTTGTGTTTCTCTGCGCGCGCGGGCACGCGCGGGCACGCGCACATGTGTAATATGTGCAGACGACAATGGACTTTCTCTTTGGCTCCCCACGCTCGCGCTTGCTCACACGCTGACATGCAAAAAGCACGCCCAGGCATGACTGCACCGCTTCAGTAGTGGCACACATGTGTACATACATCTTCCTCTCTGAGTCAACCACAAATCCGCATCTCACTGGCGTCGGGGACCGGTCCTTCACGCTGATAGGCTAAACCCAGGCGCTTGGGCAAATGCCTGGGAGTTTGATAAGGCGAAAGGAACGTCCCTCGGATTGTTTTAAATGGCTCCTGGCGCTTTTGTGTTTCCTAAAAGAACATAAATAATTAAAGTTTGGCAGGGAGGGAAAAGCTTCCTCGCAGAACTGGAGGGGCAATAAATGAAATGACTCAGAATCGCTTCTCCAGTCAGCTTTTACGAGAGCTGCCAGACAGTGTCTGTTCACGTTCTCCAGATACTAGGGGCGCCATAACAAAGTTAAGGTCAAGTTAGTGTCTTATCTTGGGTGGCACGCAAAAATACCGCACCTTCTCCAGCCGGACCG